TTGGGCCGCTACGTGTACTTGGGCCGCTACGTGTACTTGGGCCGCTACGTGTACTTAGGCCGCTACGTGTACTTAGGCCGCTACGTCTACTTGGGCCGCTACGTGTACTTGGGCCGCTACGTGTACTTAGGCCGCTACGTCTACTTGGGCCGCTATCCGCTACATGTACTTGGGCCGCTACCCGCTACATGTACTTGGGCCGCTACGTGTAGTTAGGCCGTTAAAAATACGCTAGGCCGCTAAGTTTAATCAAGCAAATGTTTACAAGTACAGCGCCATTATGTTGTTCGAGTAACTGTCGCGGGTTCAATACCTTCTAGCTGTAAGATTGCATTGCGCTCCTACGTTCTGCAGCAGCGTATGTCTCTGCGTTACTTACGCGCCTACACAGTAACGTACACATATACGCTCATGCACGCTGTACGCACACGCATACCTTCTTTCTCACATGTGTACCAGCATTAATGCTATGCACCCACACATGACCTCGATCTACTCGCATGCATACACGCATACGCTTTCATTCACATGTGTTCATACACGCATACGCTTTCATTTACATGTGTTCATACACGCATACGCTTTCATTTGCCTAATTTCATACAGGCATACGCACACATATGCACACACCTATTCGTGTGTCGTGTTACCCACACAAATGCAAAGCACTTACAATCCTTGTTTAAGCTGACACATTTGTATGCATATTCTCTGCTGCATACAGAAACTGAAGATACTACACAGCAATCTAAGACGTACACACACACACACACACAAACGTGTCCACACCCTCGCACTTGTTCTGGAGTGCTGGCAGCCAGTTAGCGTCTCTGTCAACACGAAGGAGTGTTGAGTGACAGTGTTGAGTGTCAGTGTTGAGTGACAGTGTTGAGTGACAGTGTTGAGTGTCAGTGTTGAGTGACAGTGTTGAGTGACAGTGTTGAGTGACAGTGTTGAGTGACAGTGTTGAGTGTCAGTGTTGAGTGTCAGTGTTGAGTGTCAGTGTTGAGTGTCAGTGCTGATTATACGAATCAAGCATACTTGTTGAGCATCAGTGTTGCACATCAGTGTCCCCTACCTCTGCCAGACATCGTCTACCTTATTTAGCTATACTGCAGGCAGTATATCAGTGTGCGGGCTGGACTCTATACAAAATATTTATTGCGCTCAAGGAAGACATGATGTCTGGGGTGCGACGGCAGGAAGTGTCCAGACACGAACTATTCATCTCCATATAATATATATATAGTCTCGCTGTATTAAAATACTGTTTTAACATGTCGTTCTGTATAATATTGTGTAGGTACAGTATATATTGTGATGTTTTTTTATCGGTATATCCAGTAGTTTGTTGTAAGATATCGCAAAGGTTGTTGTTACCGTATATTTCTCAATTTAATTGCACTGTTAGCTGACGTTCGGTCTTCAGTTTTTACAATTTTTAATCATTTGCCATGGTAGTGCATGTACGTTTCAAAAAAGTTTATCGCTTTATTGGTAATAATCAAGCCGACGCTTTGAACGTCTGGCAAAATTTGTTGTTGATACAAATTTAAGTTGTTAATAAACCCATTCTTTGGTCTCCAATAAACCTCCCTGCTGATGATAGTCTCGCCCTGCTGATGATTATCTCGCCCTGCTGATGATTATCTCGCCCTGCTGATGATTATCTCGCCCTGCTGATGATTAGCTCGCCCTGATGATGATAAGCTAAATGTTGTTGTAAGCTAGGTGTTGTTGTTGGCTGCTTCAGGGACAAATTCATTAGGCTTGTTGTGCCTCGTATGCGACACTCAAGCTTTAGGGCGAGTCAACATGCTGATGACATGCAGCTGACGAATAACTGCCATGTAACTGACGTGTAACTGTCATGTAACTGCCATATAACTGACGTGTGACTGTCATGTAACTGCCATATAACTGACGTGTAACTGCCATATAACTGACGTGCAACTGTCATGTAACTGACGTGTAACTGCCATGTAACTACCATATAACTGACGTGTAACTTTCATCATCATGTAACTGCCATATAACTGACGTGTAACTGCTATTCATAAGTGCCACCTCTACGTGCAGCATTTTAGCTCTGCAAACAGTTGAAACTTATTACTTCTCATCAAGGTTAGTGGAGCGCGCCGCTGATTTACAAAGGTTTACTTGTGGTCCTCACGTACTATGGAAAATTTACATTTTCTTTATGACAGTTGTAAATGCTGGGCACTCATCTCTTTTGCTTATTGTCATTCACATCTTAATTTTTCCGTTTTAATACTTATAAATAATGAATATATAAACGATATGAAAAAAAGATGATGCACTGATTTGAGCTGACATTAAAAAAGGTTAATAAAAGGGTAAAGTCTGTGCAGACCAATTCGGGCTAAACCTCTTGTATAGTCATAACGTAAAATCGTTATTTTTGTTTGTGGTTTTCTTAGAAGTCTATTGCATCTTACATTTATTTCCGTCTTATGTGTAAATGTTACTTGATTTTTCTGAGACGGCGTGAAGTTCATTCCACTTTTTTCGAACAGGCTTATGGGCATTGGTTGCATTTTGTTTCCTGACTGAATTTCATTTACACTTTACCTCAATTTAATCCTTTAATAAACGTTTCTCTCAGCCCAATCCTCCACTAAACGTTTCCCTCAACCCAATCCCCCAATAAACGTTTCCCTCAACCCCATCCTCCAATAAACGCCTCCTGCAACCCAATCCTCCAATAAACGTTTCTCTCAACCTAATTCTTCAATAGATGTTTCCCTCAACGTAATCTTCTAATGAACGTTTCCCCTCAACCTAATCCTACATTAACGTTTGCTTCGGCACAATCCTCAGTAACGTTTCCCCTCATCTCCAGATGACTACACGAGGGTGGTGCTCAAGCCGACATCTAGCGATGCTGGCGACTACATCAACGCTAACTACATCAAAGGTCCTTAACTACTTCAATAAGTAATCTCTGGTGTAGCTTGATTATACATGATTACATCAACGCTAAGTCGCTAACTACATCAAAGGTCTTTACCTACTTCAATAAGTAATCTCTGGTGAGCTTGATTTTACGTGATTACATCAACGCTAACTACATCAAAGGTCTTTACAAGTAATCTCTGGTGTAGCTTGATTATACGTGGTTACATCAACGCTAACTACATCAAAGGTCTTTACAAGTAATCTCTGGTGTAGCTTGATTATAAGTGATTACATCGACGCTAAGTCGCTAACTACATCAAAGGTCTTTCTTTACGTACATCAATAAGTAATCTCTATAGTAGCTTGATTATACGTGGTTACATCAACGCCGACCTTATCAATTAGTAATCTCGGACGTAGCAAGATTATATTTGTTCATATCGACGCTAACGCATCGAAATAATTTCTGAGGTGGCTTGAGTTTAGAGTGTGATGACGTGTGTCACGGGCTGTGATGACTTGTGTCACGGGCTGTGATGACGTGTGTCACGGGCTGTGATGACTTGTGTCACGGGCTGTGATGACGTGTGTCACGGGCTGTGATGACGTGTCACGGGCTGTGATGACGTGTGTCACGGGCTGTGATGACGTGTGTCACGGGCTGTGATGACGTGTGTCACGGGCTGTGATGACGTGTCACGTGCTGTGATGACGTGTTAGGACTGTGATGACGTGTTAGGACTGTGATGATGCAGGTGCTGGAGGCTCGCGCGCCTACATCGCGTGTCAAGGGCCGCTGCCGCACACCCTGGACGACTTCTGGCGCATGGTGGTGCAGTGCGACGTGCAGGTCATCGTTATGGCCAGCAACGAGACGGAGGGCGGCAAGGTGAGCCATCATCGTCCCTACTGCATCGTCCGTCATCTGCTGTGTCATCCTAGCTTGTTTATTATTGCATCGTCGCTAAGCTATTATATCATCGTCGCTAATCTATTATATCATCGTCGCTAATGTACATCATTGTCCACTCATGATATTTCCGGACCAAACATATATTTCTTTTCGTTATTCATCGAGCGCATTCTATTGAAGTTTCACTGTTGATAGCGATGCCAGTTACACGCTACACATCATTCATGTCAGCTGTGACGTCATCTTCACAGGAATGCTTTTAGTGCAGTTCGCTTCCTCTCTTCAGTGTTATAATATATCATGTTGTTAATATAACGCATGTCATATATATGTAACACTTTTACAGTTATGTAACACTCACGTATATGTAACACACGTCCCTACTCACGGTGCCGCTAAAGTGACATATATGTGAATTTGTTATAGTATAGAGTATTGTTCAGTTAAGTAATCCCGGTATAGTGATTTTAAAATAGTGCCTCTAAAGTGACATATTTGTGAATTTGTTATAGTATTGTATTATTTATTATTAGTATTATTGTCGTAATGTCTAAGTAACCTCGCTATGGTATAGTACCTCTCCCTCCATAATAAGTACCTTTAAAGTACTCCTTGTGCCCACAGCACCTGTGCAAGTGCTACTGGGCCTGTGCTGCTTTACAGTTAATTAATCCCTGTAATGTAAAGTACTCCTCTATTATAAAGAAACCTAGTGGGCTGGCAGTACGATTGCGAGTGCTACTAGGAATGCGAGGCTCTACAGTAGAGTACCCTCGTAAAGTACCCCATAAAGTACCCCTATAAGCACCCAGTCGCCCCCCACAGCACAAGTGCGAGTGCTACTGGGCATACGAGGCTCTATAATAAAGTACCCTCGTAAAGTACCCCCATAAAGTACCCTCGTAAAGTACCACCTAAAATACCCCCTATAAGTACCCCTGTCCCCCCCCCCCCAGCACAAGTGCGAGTGCTACTGGGCCTGCGAGGCGGGAGAGCGGCGGCAGTTTGGCGAGGTTGGTGTCAGCTTCGTCAAAAGTCGCCAGGTTTGCCCCGACTTCCTCGTGCGTACACTCAAGATAACCTTCCCTGGGGACGGTGGGGAGGCCGGTGAGTCAAGTCCAAGTCCTCTAACTCTAACAATGCCATTTAATTGTTAAAGTTAGAGGACTCTAACAATTAACCAATGTTAATTAAGCAATTAACCTCTAACCAATGTAACTATATACCGTCATACTGGCACTATAGCATCGTAAATATTAACAATACTACCAACATCGTAACTATTATGTCTTACGAATACTACTACATCGTAACTACTAAGACTTCTTGCTATTCCTGATTTTTTTTACATAACTGAATAATTCATAGCTATCTTATTGCAAATTCTAACGAATCAAGCATTAAAACATCCTAATTGCAATTTACTGCTGATTTACAGAGTCGTGATTTATGTGCAATTTCCACTAGTCACTTGAACCGACCATGTGAAAATGAGTTAATAACAATTGTTAATAAATACTGTAGTGCAGACCTAATAGCCATTTATGGCCAATGCAAATGTATCAAAAATCCAAGTATGGCCATTGAATGGCAGACACACGCATCGTGTAACATTACAGTTAATAACAATACAATGCACGGTTCAGAACAATAATTCTTGATATATTAACTATTAGAACTTAATTATAACCTATTTACTGGCAGAGACACTCATTGATTGACATTAAAGTTAATAACAACACCATGTACCGTTCACAACTATTATTGGTTCTTAACATATGAAGTATTATAACTTAATTATAACCTCATTGCTGACAGAGACACGCATAGTCTGTCAGTTCCACTACTCGCTGTGGCCGGACCACGGAGTGCCAGACTCTGTGAAGCCGCTGCTGGCGATGGTGCGGCTAGTGAGGGAGTGTCAGGCTAGTGAGACTCTGCCACTGTTGGTGCACTGCAGTGCTGGCTGTGGCAGGACTGGCACTATCTGTGCCATCGACCATGTCTGGACACTCCTTAGGACTGGCGTGAGTTGGGGCGTGGACACTCCTTAGGACTGGCGTGAGTTGGGGCGTGGACACTCCTTAGGACTGGCGTGAGTTGGATTTACTTGAGAGTTTGTGTCTAAGTTGGACTAACATGAGTTACCTCAGTCCCTTAATAGGACTGGATTGAGTTTGGGACACACCTTAGGACTGGGGTGAGTTGTAGCGGGGACACTCCTTAGGACTGGCGTGAGTTGTAGCGGGGACACTCCTTAGGACTGGCGTGAGTTGGGGCGTGGACACTCCGTAGGACTGGCGAGAGTTGGGGCGTGGACACTCCTTAGGACTGGCGTGAGTTGGGGCGTGGACACTCCTTAGGACTGGCGTTACTTGGACTTACTTGAGAGTTACCTCAGTCCATTAGGACTGGATTGAGTTTGGATGGAGACATCCGTAAGGACTGGGGTATATTGGACTAACATAAGAGTTCTGTCGGTCCCTCAGGATTTGAACATCTTCTTGGCGACGGCTTTCAAAAGTTTAATCAGCTTTATTATTATCATTATTTTTTTCTCATTTTGATGTCTGTGCTTGATCAAATTAATATAAAATTAATCATGAAATTTTCCGTAGCGTTTGTCCGACTGCGTGGACCTACTTACAATGGTTAAGAAAATGCGACGACATCGTGATAATCAGTGTCTAAAATGCAATAGGAAATTTTCCTCATTTGAATACTTACTTCACAAAGATTGTTCAATTAGTATATAATATTTACTGTATGATATTTTACAGCGTTTGCCCGACTGCGTGGACCTGCTGACGATGGTGAAGGACATGCGACGCCAGCGCGTAGCGATGGTCCAAACTCGGGACCAATACATGCTGCTACATCGCGCCCTCCGCCATCTCTTCACGGACAGACTTGCCCTCATCGATGAACATCCTTACGCCAACATCGCAGTAGACGGCTCCCCTCTTGGTCTGCATCATCCCGCATCCCATAAACCGACGCACAACCGTAATGGATCTGGCAGTAACACCCCCACCGGCATCAGCAGCCCCATCAGCACCCCCGCCAGTACTCCCATCAGCACCAATACCAGCATCAACAACAGCATCAACACCAGCACCCACGCCAGCATTAACACTAGCACCAAAACTGGCACCGACATCAGCAAAGCCTCAGTCAATAAGGCTGTCCCAAACTCCAATGGATATGCCGACAAGAGCGAGGAATCCTGCAGCCTTCGGACTTCTGATGGTGAGTTGCAGTTCAGAAGCTTTGAGTGACGGTATTCATGATCTGGTGTGTTTCAAATGAATCATTTCATTGTGTTTGGTGTACAGAAATTTGTTGAACCGTTAGCATATTTTGCGACGTTTACCTACAACATCTCCTAAAAAATTAGGTCATAGTTCAATGAATAGGTGTAGTCCCTCTCTCAGTGACTAGTGGAGCAAACGACTTTTTTTAATGATATAATTTACTTCAACTGAATATTCATCGGGTAGTTGATACTTATACCGTGTCTGAATATATTCTTATTTACAGGCAGGACTCAGGATACCTCAGACGCTTCTCGTGCTCATCGGAAAGACCAGCAACAAGAAACTCCTTCTTTTTCTGGGGTTCTAGGATCGTCACCTACTGGTCTCCTCTCACCTCAAAACCATCGTTCTGATCAAACAGAACCTCAGAGCCCCCGCTGTGGTTCTTCTGAATTGCCTGAGAAGAACGACTGCATTTGCAGGACGGATGGCAGCAGTTGCAGTTCTGGTCGTAAATGCGGTGTCAAAGAATCTAATGTTGATGAAGTTGACAGCAGCAGTGACAGCAGCTGGCGCTTGCGTCTAAAATATCAACCACAACAACAATCCAGATCTCAACTTCAATCGCCGCAATCCCAATCGCAACTTCAATCACCGCAATCACAACAGCAATCTCCGCTACTGCAACAGCAATTTCAATCACATGTACAGCCCCAACACCAAAGACTCCTGCAACCTCAACCCCTGAGGGGTTCATTGAGCCCACAGAGCACACCCTACAGCACTCCGTTGAGCACCCCACAAGGCGGCACGCCCTCCGCGACACCCAACACGACGCCAGGTCCTCTGCAAGGCATCGGTCTCTTGTCCCCTCCACAGCCACCCACTCCTCCTACCCGCAGCCAGACGCCCTCACCCGTTATTGCTCTCAACATGAGGGCCTACGAAGGCTGTCACTCCCAGCAACAACATGGTCATCAACAACAGGGGAAGCAACAGGGACAGCAGCATTTCAATAATTACGTCAACTCCCCGCAAATGCTCACCCAGTCACTGGATTCTGCTGCACGAAATCAACTTTCTGGCCAGAAAGGCAACTTCACCCTGACGGACGTCAAGCAAGCGCATCAAAGTCAATGGGGAGCTACAGGCAGTCGTAGTCAACGTGGCTTTACAGACGGTCAAAATCAACGTGACTTTACAGACAGTCAAAATCAACGTGACTTAACAGACAGTCAAAATCAACACCAAGGATCCTTTACAGCCGTACACGGACTGCGCTCTCAAGGTTTGAAAGGTTTTCTTGAGGCTGGATTTGACGACCAAAATCCTAACCAAAACAATTCGGTTCCTGCAAACGCTCGAGTTTCAGCTGTAAAGAAGCCTCGTAAAAGTATGGAATTAAATCGTCGTCCCAGCATCAACAAACTGAAGCAGCTTTTTGAGACCAACAAGCCAGAAATTTTCCCGAACGTCGCGTGCGATGAAACTCGTCCATCTTCATCATCGGTAAAGCTTTCAAGAAGCGCGAGTTCAGTGACGCTGAGGTCTTCGTCTCTCTCTTTAGCCAGTGACGTCGGTGTCAAGTCTATGAGGCTCAGGAGGAGACCTGGTCTTGGTTCTGAAGAATCTATCAACTTTCTTCAAGCACCAACTTATAATGCGAGTCAAAACTCTGACAAAATATCCGAGTTTTCGAAACGAGTGGACCATGAAATGTCAACGGCTGCTGGTCTCTCCTTGCGGATATGTCCGCCTCCGCCTCCTTTGAACGAGCGTCGTAATTTGGAAATCAACAGAAACGTAAGATCTGTTGAGCCGGATTCTCTCTTATCGAAGTCTACTAACTTTTCTGATGATGCAGCCAGATTATGCAAGCCTCCTTCCTTGCCTTTACACGTAAGCCCCAACACAAAAAGGAGGCAACATTTGCGCGATCATCCTTCCCCATTAGGGACCAGAATAATTGTCGATGAAAGACCAGCGTTACCTGTTAAATTAAAGAAAAAGAGTCAATCTTTCCGGTATGCTCGGGAGCAAACGCCAAGCTCTCCGCTAAGCAATCGTAGTCCTGATTTCAGCCGGAAAGCTGTGAATGAAGTTAACAATTACTTCAGCTTGGAACGAACCAAGGTTGAATCACATAGCGTAGCCAGTGACAAAACATGTCAACAAAGAAGGTTTGGAGATGTCAACTCTCTGCCATCGGAGTCTGATGAACAAACGATCTTCCCTTCAACTGGAATTTCATCTCAAATTTCACGCCCTACCACCCTTTTTAATGACAATGACATACGTCCTCAGATCCCACCTAAGAAGTCTGTACAAAATCGTACCAAAGGAATCGGTTCTGAAGTTTTTGGCAGCAGTGCACCCGCGCTGTCCAACTCCCTTGACCGTTCATCATCAAACTGTTATGCGCCTAAGCTGCTTGCTGCTGAGGCTTGGAAATCGTCGATCAGTTCTGATTCCGATCAAAGTTTGTACGACCAACTTCCATGCCAAGGTCAACAGCCACACAACTCCACGACACACAAACCGTATGTTAATGCGCGTCTGGTGCGAGTTGCTGATTCTGCGAGTGGCGAACGCGAAGTTTACTTCCCCATGCCATCCCGCAGGAATATTCCTGGAACAAATAAACCTAGTCCTGACTATGCCAACTATCCAGAAGACGATTGGCTGGGTCATGCTGCTGGTGGTTCATCTCGCTCTCTGCCTCGTAATAGTATGAACGCTGCTCCAAAGTCCATGCCTGGCAGCTCAACATCCATGGACATGTCGCCTGTTGAGGGGAAGATTCAAAATGCTCACATGCACAGCCTCGATGACGTGTCAGCTTTTCCCAGTAAGAACTACACCAACACATCATCGTACCTGAAGAGCGTTCAGGAGCTCAATACCGTACGTGGGGCGCTGGCTTCTGCGAACAAAGCTGTGACCCACGAGCCTATCGACTTCGGGGAGCATTCCAATGCCGGCAGCGACGACGACGTCGTCGTTGAGGTCGTCAACAAAGAAATTGTGGGCGAAAATTACAGACTTGAAGGCTCGTCGTCGCGTCCCATTTGCTTGCCAAACGAAGACTCGCTTCGGAACAGCCTGGATTCAATCGCAAGACAAGTGTATCAGGACTGTGAAAATTATCTTCTGCATGGTAGTAACAAGTCTGAAGTGCCTAATTTGATGCCGACGCATGCTAAAAAATCTTATAAGAACTCGGCGAATCAAGAGAGCTCCTCGTCGCGAAGCAGCGTCGATGAAACCTCGTCTTCCTCTTCTGTCGGCCGAAATTCTCGTTGCTTGAGGGAAGCAACGAAACAAAACGGCAATCGAGACGACGATCCTGATGTGTTTACAAGCGAAGTTAAGAGTCGCGTTAGCATTGCCCCGCCCGGCCTCAGAACACGGGAAAGAAGTAACAGCTACCGGCAAGCCGTCAGAAACGTGCCCAGTAACTGGAAACCTAAGTTACAGAACTTGGTAGATGAGAATTTAATTATGACAGATTCCATGACATCTTCTTACATCACTGAATCTCCTGAAGAATCCCAGTCTGAGGCTAACTCAATGTCAGAGGAACTCGGTAATCATATGAAGAGTGTTAATAAATACGAAACCATTTGGTTTGAAAAAGTCCGCGAAACGGGAAGATCGGACGAGAATTCACGCTCCGCTTGCAATGTTGCAAACGACAGACGCACTGAAGGAAATAAGTGGAATGAAATAAATAATACGAGCTGCATTAGTTCCAGTCAAGACGAAGGTAGCAGCCAGCGCTCTGTGTCATCTAAACGGCTTCATCATCCCGGGTCTCCTGGGTCGGGTTTGTGGGATAGAAATTTCCTTGGCCAAACTGAAGAAGTTTCGGGCCCGGCGAACAGTTCAGAACAAAGTCGAGCGTCCAATACACAGGCTGCTAGTAATGCAACAAGTGATGAAAACAATCACAATAATAATCAAAGAGAAGAGATGGCTGGGAGTAAACGTTTCCCTTCCTCGTCTGTAGCGAAAAGTGGACAATTCAATGGAAACCTACCAAGTCCTTCAAAAGAGCCAATTTACGTGAACACTTCGGAGTTAAGAGCGACCACTCAGCCGCACCACAGACTAACCACAAGCAGACCTGCTGCCAATTCAAGTATTGTACATAGCAACTACGTTGACCATGCAAACAACAACGGGAATGACAAGTCTTGTGGCCTCGAACCGGAATCATTTTCCTTGATTCCTAAACCGCAGGGACCATCTTCGACCACTCCTCCGAAACAGATCTCTCGAGCCCCCTTTGCCCCTTACATGGAAGTCCCGTTGCCCAAGGGGCTTGCAACTTCTGAAAATGCTGCACGTTCTGTTATTTCTAGCACTAATACCCCAAATTTTCCAAATTTTGGTGACCATCGATTGCAAAGCTACGGAAAATTCTTATCGGAGTCTGGCCAATCTCGGTCTTTGCCCCCGCCGCCTCCGCCTTCTTCTTTCAAGTCCAAGAATCCCCATCAGCATTTCCCGAGCATGGAACGCTCAGCCCCACTCAAGCCCCACTCTGGGGCGATGCTCGAAGGCTCAGCCCCACTCAAGCCCCACTCTGGGGCGATGCTAGAGCCTCTCTACCTGAGCCCAATTGATGCCAAGCGAGAACCCGAACCTGTCAAAGGCTTTCCTAACCAGCATAGTGAGGTAAAAATTTCAAACTCGCAAGGGAGAAGAAACTTTCAAAACTCTTATGCCGTTAGCCGTGGCGTGGAGGACGAACGTCACGGCAATGTGGCATGTCTTAGCCACGGCATGCCACGTGCTGGCCATATGGCAAGGCCGCCACATGGCGCTTCGGCTGAGTTCCCTTACGCTTCTTCTAAAGCTCACATCATCGGAGACTTCGCTATTGTCGGTACGATGTTTCTCATAAAATGGTGATTTTATAAAAATCTTTTAATTTTATTTTTATAATAATTTTCTTTTATGATATAATATAATAATATGATGTTTTTAGAAATCTTATAAATCCTGTTATTTAACCGTTGTGCACATGATGATGATCACATTGTCTGCTCATACATTAGTAATCCCTCCTTTTTGTTTTGGTATTGTTCTTTAAACCAATTTTGTTTTTTTTGTTTATGACATTTTTTTGTGATTTTCGAGTGATATGCCAGCGTTTTGTTCAACTATTTGTTTAGGGTTGTTTGTTCTGAGAATGCTTGCAGTTGACGTATCCAAGTCTCTTCTAACGAGTTCTGTTTCTATCAATTTATTCTATTTGTATGCATTTCAATATATTTGCCTTATATTTCATTTATTAGTATAGGAATTAGTAGGGATCGCAACTCTATATGTACCGTGTAGACCCGCCCTCGTTTGAATTCTCTAACGGTTGGCTTGAATCTTTAATACATATAGAGTTGCGATCCCTACTAATTCCTATACTAATCAATTTGACTTCACGCTACTCCCGCCCTTTCAGTTCGTAATAAAACTCTATCATCACCTTTGAGCGATGTATATTATTGTATATGCATATATAATAATAATGTATATATAATATTCAAAGTGGTCCAGTAGTTACAGTTCAGAGTACCAAGATTGGCGCAGAGAGGCGCGGGTTCGATCCCAGCTCTGTGCGCCAGTTTCTGGTCAGAATCGGCAAGGAGTCGGGGCGGTTAAGGGGACCTACTGATAATTTTGATAACTTCTATAGTTATTATCCGATTGACATGAAACTTCACATACATACGTAAAATGTAAAAAGAAAAACATTTTGCTCCTGTGAATTTTTCGAAAAAATTGATAAAAAACGTGATATTCATAGAAAACGGACAAATAACGGGTACTTCAGAAAATCTATCTCCTCCTACAAATATCATCCTACAACATCGAGACACGTATCATTCGATTCGTAAAGACCATATCTATCGACTCTATCGTTCCTTTTTTTCATTTTCCACCTATTATATCTAATTACTTAAACAACTCTCCCACCCGCTTCCCTTTAAAGAGACGTCATGAACGTAAATATTGGCGTACAGCGATGGCAGTGGTACCATTGGAAAGAGCAGAATTCCAGCTTTCAGATGAGCACAAAAACCGAAAAACGCCAAAATTGAAAATTTTAGGCAGCAGGTCCCCTTAAGCACAGCAGAATTGTAGCAGTGAGTTGCGAGTTCGAGACCGCAAAATGCTGTGAATGTTCTGCGATGTTAAGAATCGGCGACAGGCCTACGGCTTAAGAAACACTGAAACCGCTATTATTATTATATTATTATTATTAGTAATATGTATCATAATTTAAAGCCGTTCATAATATTTAATTGATAATAGTTTATTTCACTTGAGATCTCCCGCACCTTCAGGAGACTCAGCTGTCCGGTTACGTCGTGGGGCGCGGCCCCCTGGAGGGGACCTGCAGCCCGCGGTCCCCGTGGCGCCCCCGCGGGTCAAGCGACATTCTGCCGTGGGGGGCGCGGAGACCCCGCCAGACCCCGGCAGACAAGGTTCATATTATATTATTATTCATATAAAAATTCATCTTAATTAGATTTTTATTTATTTAACAATTTATCGAGGTTACTACTATTATTCATTTTTACATTAATTATTTTTACCATTATTATTCATTTAAAAATTCATTATAAATTCCATTTATATTTATTTAACAATTCATCAGGGTTACCGGTACTACTATTATTCATTTATACATTCATTATTTTTAACATTATTATTCATTGAAAAAAATCATTTTAAATTCAATATTTATTTATTTAACAATTTGTTAGGGATACCTACCACTAATATTAATTTCAACATTCATCTATTTTACAATTATTATTAATTAAAAAAATTTGAGATTGCGTTAATATTTAATAAAGAATTTGTTCTCCGCAGTACATTTGTAAGTTAAGCTCTTTGTTTTTTTTAACACACTATGATATTATTTCAATACGATATAAAATACAACAGCGACTCGGAATAATAAGAAGCGGCTAGTTGACGTGCTTCTTGCTCTATGTTATATTTAAATTAATGTATAGATATTTTATCATCATTGTTATAATTGAATAATCAAGCTAAATTTATCCGTTGAAAAAATCGGTAGCTTTCAAATATTAGTTTTGTGGTTAGAACCTTTTCTGTGATATTTGTACTTCTTATCGTAACATATAGGACTATTTTCTTGAATATATCGACTATCTAGTGAAACGGCTATTGATTGAAGTCTGTTGAAGCCTCTAGTAATGCCTCTAGTGAAGCTTCATTTGTAAATAGTTTAACAAGTTATAACTGACTAACATAAAACATTCTAAGTTAACGTCCGGATCACAGGCACGAGTGACGGCCGCTACACCACAACGTCACCGCAGCTACACAGGAGGGTGAGTGCTGCTCTGTACCTTTATTTATTGTGTTAATGTCTATACTATTACTGATATAGACATTGTTGATATAATGTCTATATATAAGATTCCTGATATATTTTGCTGTATCTCAATGTTGCTAATGTATCTCAATCTACATCATGCTGTATCTCATGTACCTTTTTTCATTGTGTTAATGTCTATACCATTACTGATATAGCATTAATGTTTATATCATGTCTATATGATTCCTGATATATCTTGCTGATATTCCTCCCAGTATTTCATGCCTGATATGCAAGTATCATTCATGTCGAGATCATGCTTTTATGCTTGCATCAGTCATGCCGTTATCATGCTAAAGCACATTCATGTCAACGTCGTACTTACGAGTACATATATGCGAGTGCTAATTAATTCATACTTCATTCATGTCTATATCTGCATGCTGGGAAATAATTCATTATGTTGTAATGAGTAATTATGGAGGCAGAAATGTCTGATGGTTATGAGTATTGGAGGAAGAGGTTATGAGTATAGGAGAACTTTTCGAAAAATTTTCTACAAGCTTAACTGACTCATTTATTTGCTTATCTTTGATCGATATTACTGACGATCACTCTTATATACCTATTTAGTATCATTTAATCTCAATTAATGTCAGTTATTTATTTGATGCTAATATTCCTGTTCTGATTTCAGGGCCAAACGGACGAACCCTATTCTTTACTGTAGCACAATACGTGTTTATGCTCTATGTTTTCCAGCACATTTTTCACTGATTTAATTATTTTCGTACGTTATCTCCACATTTTTTTCTTGTACAATGTACTTATCTTTTTATTTAATAATTACGTACTTCAATTTTTTTAGTTCTTCTCTTTCTTTTTTTTTGTAAAAGGTGTATTTGTTCACATTAGAGTAATGCACAATTAAAATTACTGCACATGCTTCTAGTTGCGTAGTTTCATATTTTTTTTTCTAGCGGTCATCTTTTCCTTTTATATTATTGATTTTTTTATGTTTGACTTCTGTTCGTTCTTCAACCTCGGCTGTCATTTATGTCGATTTCATGTCTGCTCTCAAACGATTCTCTTTGATCTTTTATTCAAATTATTTACATTGTATGGGCTTTGTTTGTCGCATTAACGTTTGTGTTGGTCACAAACTCTGTGGTGCTGTCGCTTGTAGTCTCACGCCTTCCTTGCTCGGCCAGACATCGCCCGCCCTGCCGCCCCACTGCTGGTCTGTCACGTCATCGTGACGCATGCAGGTTCGAGACGTGGTCTTACCCTCGTGCTATTTCCCTCGTTTTGTTCCCCTCGTGCTGTTGTCCTCACCCTATACCCCTTGCCGTTTTCTTTCGTTTTGTTCCCCTTATATTATGCCCTCATTTCCCCCTGCATAGACGCCCTTGCTGGTCTAGCATTTTTCATCTTATTGTTTTCATTGTCATGGTCTGCTCTTATGTTTCGTTTGTATAGTTCTTTTGGGACTGTTTACCTGGTATTCTCACCCTCGTATTCTTACCCTCGTATTCTCACCCCCGTATTCTTACCCTCGTATTCTCACCCTCGTATTCTTACCCTCGTATTCTTACCCTCGTATTCTTACCCTCGTATTCTTACCCCCGTATTCTTACCTTCGTAGTGTTTTTCTCGTGTCGTAAGCCAGATAATATTCGTTGTTTCAATAACAGCAGATTTGCAGCGTTTCCTCATTCGTTTCCTATTATTTCCCTGCTGACCTCCCTTGCTTTATTCAGTTTTGCTGCCAACGTTCTTGTGTCGCCCAGTTTATTTTGCGGCCAAACTTCCTATTGACGGAACCGCGTTTGTACTAGTGATTTTTTATGCTAACAGCACATTATTTCTTTCCTCTTTTGTTTACTCTCCGATTTTTTGTGTTTTCCAATGTTGGCATTGAAATCTTTAACTGGGATGATTGTTTTCACCTGCTTGAGTCGATTTGTATTACGAATTATAAATTCCATGGATTGCTTTAGTCCTGAAATTAGACCGGCGCTTGAGGTAATTTAGACCCTTCCTGACGCGAGATCTAATATTGCGCGCTCACTGCAGAGCGTCCACGGAGCTGGCGGTGTTGAGGGCAACCCTCCTGCTTCTCCTCCTGCACTTCCTGCCAAGACGGCCCTGCACCTCCTCCTGCCTCCTCCTGTGCCTCCTGCAACACTTTCTTCCTGCACTTCACCTGCACATGCACCACTTATTTCTTCCAGTATGCACTCCCACGGCAACTTTACCTCCTGCAACAACCAATCTTTTGCACCTTCCGGGCCACAAGATAGTGACAATCTGGTCCCTGTGTCCCGGTCCCGGGGCAACAGCAGCTCCATGGGGGACCTGTCCCGAACTGGGGACCCTCCTGAGGATGGACCCACCAGGGGGACCCAAGAAGTGGGTCAACGTCAGAGTCCGAATAATACAAAATTACCGGACATTAAGAAGCGGAATGGCAAACGCGACGAACAACAACTCAAACGGCAGAGCTACCATGGCGGAAATAGTGGTACCAATACTACTTCTACTCACCATCACCACAATACCAGTGACTCGTACTACCACCACCACCATCATCATCAGCATTCTATGGTGCAACATCAACACCATCATCATGGACCTCATTCGTCGTCGTCCTCGTCTACAACGCAGGGACCTGCTAAGCAAGGGACCACAAAAACCTCATCCGATCTTTCGAACACTTCCTCTTCGTCTTCTGATCCTCGTCTTCACAATGCCAACGGCCGTCATAAGTCAGACAAGCCTTACTCGTCCCCTCCTTCTACTTCATCGTCAGGTCATAGTCAGACTCAACTTCAGTCGTCGCTAGCTTCGTCAAGCAATTCGTCAGCTGGTCAAGACGGCACCTCATCTCCCAACAGACGAGCATCCGGAGACGTGTTATCTGTAGGAGCGCCATCTTTCTTTGGCGGTTCTACCTTAAAACCTTATCAACACACGTCAACATCGTCACCCTCTCATCACACGCCGCCCTCAAATACCGACTCAATGTCATCACCAGAGCATCTTGGTAAATCATCTCCTCACCACCCTGGCTCATCACCCCCACATCACCCTGGCTCATCACCCTCACATCACCCCATCACAAGTCACCCACCAAACTCCCCTCACGCATACCTACAACGATCGTTGACCTCAAGCGCTATCTTAGTTCGCAGTCCTAACCAATCTCAGCCACAGAACCGCAGCTTGGAACGCCCCGACAAAATCAACGGCGTTGATACTGTGTCCAAAACACCGCCTAACCCTCAGGCGACCAGCAAGTTTTCTATGCCAAATTTATTCAAGAAATTCAGGGGCAATGTGAACTCAAGCACAAAACTCAGCCCCTTGCAGCTCGCTAAAAAATCGTACGTTCATCCCAACCGTGGAGCTGGCAAACAGGGAACTGATGTTGGAGGGGGTGATGGGGTGATGTCGTCATACGTAGGTGATGAGGTAATGTCACAATGTGGAGGTGATGGTGTGATGTCATCACAGTACAAAGATGAGAGGGTGATGTCACAGTACGGTGGTGATGGAGCAACGAACGTGGTTGGGGCTCAAAATGATGATGATGATGCAGGTCAGAAACCCAGTGGAAAGAAGAAAAATCAGAAGCTTCCGTCATCAAAAGGCAATGTAAATAAAAGTCGTAAAGTTGGAGCTGAATCTCGTTGCCAAGTCCCAGAAAATGTCCAAGACTCGGCCGAAGACCGAAGCGCTTCCGCGTCCCAAAAAAGCAAAATCCCAAACGCCGCCGATTCCTCGAATTCTTCTTCATCTCCTTACTCATTCAAAGGAAAATCTAGCAAGAAAGGCAGTAAACCTGATAGCAACAAGAAGAACAATTCAACAAATGAAAGTAGGTATACTGGACCTGAATCACCAACGTCGCCTAAGCCTTTGGCGCGGGCGTTAGGAAAATTTAAGTTCATGAGAAGTTTAACCGGAGATCAAACTGACTCAGGTCTCTCATCCTCATCCAGTAACGGAAGCACCGTTAAAAATAAGACCAGTGATAATAACAGTAACGGAAACGGTTGCAGCGGAAACGGCAGTAACGGCAACGGAAGTAACGGCAGCATGAGCCCTCTTCAGAAAAGCGCTAGCGTTGGCCACAGCATGTTCACTTCAGTGGTACAGGACTGTGGTGAGTGTAAACTGCTTGTTGTTTGTCTATAAGATCCTATAATTTATCCAACTATTCATAAAATGTAGTATATTTATTTATATATTAATAAAAAAATTATATTCCTAACTTACTTCGCACAATGTTTTCTTACAATTTAAATAACGGAAGTGTATAGTTCTGATCGTTGTCAGAAATTTGTGTTCCCTCTCTCCATGCTATTGCTTCCTCATCAGCTCCTTGTCGTGTGAACTATAATTCTACAGACTTTTTATTTAATTATTTTTATTATAATGATATTTTTGCAGGTTTTCCGCGGTCACAAAAAGCAAGACGCCCGTCGGCCAGTCCGCCCCCCGCCCGCCAGCAATATCTGTGATCTGCACATCGTCGTGCCTCTGATGAATATAAATGTGTCATATTGTCCTCATAGTGACACACTTACTCCTCCCTCGTGCATCACGCTGACAAATAAATGTGTCATATTGTCTTCATAGTGACACACTTACTCCTCCCTCGTGCATCTCGCTGACAAATAAATGTGTCATATTGTCTTCATAGTGACACACTTACTCCTCGTGCATCACGCAGACAAATACGTGGCTCAGATTATCCAAATAGCGACATACTTTATGGTGCGCGTAGTGATAGTTCCTTCTATGGCTTTAATCTGGGTCAGAGTGAAGGTAAAAAAAATTGTATCGCTATTCGACAATCTTCCTCATTTTTCTGAGTGGCACGTCCTCTTATAAACGCAATCTTCATGATTTTTTTATCGACAATTCGCATGCTTTTTAAACCAGGCAGCGAAGCTCTATTTTTCTTAACAATTAAATCGTTAATAAAGTTTACGGTCTTGCTTATGTAAAAAAACTTCCTGACTCGGGCCATTTGTATAAAAATTTGACTTGCTGCCATGCATGTAAATTCTTTATTTTGTTGTTCACTAATATTGTGATATTAGTACGCCGTACTAAATGGTCAATATGTTTATTGTAATGCTATTCTTACCTGAATTCTAAATTCATCTGACTAGTTAGTTGCTTAACGCTAAATAAAGTTCGTTCAGCTGAATATAATCACCGAATTAAATTAAATTACTGGTGAATATCATCTTAATTGAAACCGTCTTTAAATGCTTCATAAGAGATTGTGGCAACCGTGAAACGTTCGTACACTCAGAAACATAAGTGGGTAATGTCGTGCAAATAGTGACACACTTCCTGCACGTGCCACCGATTACGCCTTTTGCTGGGTCAACAATGTCCACGTAATGGAAACAGTGCCGCGCTATTTGGACAAAGTTTCCACTTATTTATCTGAGTGTACAAGACTGAATTTGAAGCAAGTTATTGTATTTATGTGACGAGAGCTTGCAATGCGCTCTGAACAAAGTAGGATTTACGAGAGTATAGGATTAATACGGATTAAATAAAGGATTAATGGTGATTAAAGGAAGGATTAATGGTGATTGAAGATAGATTAATGGTGATTAAAGAAAGATTTAGTAAAGAGATTAATGACGAGATTAATGTTTCGAAACGAAAGTGTTGATATATTTGATCGTTGTTTAACTAATAAGCGTTGGACTGGTCTAGCGTTATAATGTGACGTTGTTTTGTTAGTTGAAAAGCTTCTTATGATGAGATGCGTCTTCGGTGCACGTAGGAAAATGAATGGGTTATTGTCCAAATAAGCGATGCATTTTTTGCTTGGTGTGGGTCATTCTGACTCACTATTATATTATATGGGTCACTATTTGGACAATATGACCAGACATTTTTTTGTGAGCGTGGCAGCGCGCCTGACTTAGTTTTAGTGTCTAGCGCCATTGACGAACAAATGTATGTGAATCTCTATAATTTTATGCTACTTTTATTTGGCGCACTTGAAATATCTTTTTCTAATTCTATTGTTCATTATTTCTTATTTGTTCTCTCTTCATTCGTTTACTATACTTAGGGCGTTCGTTGATATTCTTCAGAACGCAAATTTTTATAACGCTTCCGCTTAATCCCTTTTTGTGTGCACAGCCTTTCTTGCCGAAGCAAGATGATGTTTTCTGTATATATTGGTTTTAACGGAGGACTTAGTTTACTGAACGATTATTTATTATGTCTCGATGTAGTTTAATTGTACTCTCTTTTGATATTGCAAGTTTGTGCTATTGACTTTAGTTTCTACTCGACGAAACGCCTTCAGAAGTGTTGTGTTGCAGAGGCTAAAACACGTAATATCTTCGTAGAGTAAGTAGATCAATATCTAAGTAGGATAAGTAGATAATAAGTAGATCAATACCGTAGAATTAATCGATCAATAAACAAAGAATATAGGAAAAAAATTATGAACTTGATACATTTATCGTAATTCAGTTTCGGCATGAACATCCCTTAAAATATTAACATTGTAGCAGACACTTGGATTGTAGCAGACACTTGGATTGTAGGAGACACTTCTATTGTAGCAGACACTTGGATTGTAGCAGACACTTGGATTGTAGCAGACACTTGGATTGTAGCAGACACTTGGATTAACTGAAAGTTATATGTTGTCTTTGTTACTCAACTGAAGCTTACATTGGCTGGTAATTACAATTTTCATAGATACGTTGCATGAAATGGTTAACAAGTCTACCGATCATGTTTCTGTGCTAGATATTTACATGCATTTGATAATTGAATGCTAGATATTTACATGCATTTGATAATTGAATGCTAGATATTTACAGGCATTTGATAGTTAAATGCTAGATATTTACATGCATTTGATAATTAAATGCTAGATATTTACATGTAGCAATTCTTCGCCTTGTTAACTAATCGCAATCACTCGATATTGTGGAACGCGTTATTTTTGTAATGTTTCTGGGTCGTGAACTTTATTATTTTTCAGTCACGTACAGATTTGTACTAATGCATATTTGGTAAATCGGTTCGTACTATAATAATAATAATATTAATAATTAATGTCTCCTATTAAAATCATGCTACGCAGACTGGAACTTGAATGCAACATGCGCATCGAATCGTGTAAAAATTTGTTGAATCTCTTTTGATTGATATTATCTGTTGATTGTTCGTTGATTATTTGTTTGTAATGTTGAGTGTAAGAGGCCGCCTACCGTCCCGAGTGTTGAACATATGCAAAGAAGCTGCCTTACTTACAGAAATGTTATAGCAAATGTTATAGGAAACCGAATGTTGTAGTTACTAATACGTTATAGTAGCAGATATGTTGCGGCTGTTTAAATGTTTTTTGCTTGACTAAGAGTCATGTTGAATGAGTATGTAACGAATGTTATATCTAATTTCGGTTTACAATGTTATCGCTAAATTTATACGATGTTTTCGTCACTATCAAGCCACCGCTCATTCAGTATAATTTCACTAAGCGAATGTAAATTTATTTTTTCTAGGTAAATACTTATATTAAATGTGAAATGTGGGACGAAGTAAAATCCCTCAATATTTGGTTTACGTGTATTGCTGTGTAAAATGTTTGGTGCTGAACAGTCCACTCGCACAAATTTTCAGCGATAAATCCAGGGTTGTACGTACAATACCGTGAAAAAGTAATACCTTGTAAAAAAATACCATGAAAAAGTAATACCGTGAAAAAAATAATAAATTCAACAAAAAATCTTCCTTGTCCCGTTGTTGTGATGCTCTGAATGGAAAACTTTAGGCACTGAAAGGAATTTGACGAAGAAATGTTTGATAACGTAAGATATTGAGAGAGGAGAAAGCCTCCCTCTTCTCACAGCGTTGCATTTGTCTCGAGTTATTAGTGGGGACTTATGTATAGAATGTGTTCTGTATTAATGTAAATATAGATATTAATAATATAGAATTAAACATCCTGTACGGGGGATGTGAAATGCCTTACTATTAACGACGGATGTTTAACTCTGCGATGAATTGTCATTTGAATGATATTGAAGAATGATGTCAGAAGATATAGATTTATAATAAGGAGTTGCTGCTCAATTATGCGTCGCGGTACTCGAATATGCAAACTAATTTACTATGCAAAGAATGCATCATATATGCTGGTGATTTCGTTGCGGCCTTACTATCTGCCCGAGACAGAAAATAATCTGAAAAATAAATGGGTCACATTGTCCAAATAGTGATACACTTCCTGCACGTAGCACTCTTTCATCATTTATGCGGGCTAAACTGGGTCAGGATGACCCACACAAGAGCAAAAAGTGCGTCGTTATTTGGACAAATTCTTATTTCTCTGAGTGTAGCAAAATGTCCACTCGAGCCTCGCATTATTCAAGTTGTTCATAGTACGCAAAGATTAGTCTTATCTGACTACTATTTGTTTTATATTTTGAACTAAATTGTGTGAAAATTATTAATGATGTTTTGAATTTTTATTTCGATTGTTTCTTGGAGTTAAACTTGCATTGGGGTTACTAGAGATTCCTGCGATAAATTGCACATTTTTTAGATAGTCTAGTGAAATTCTTAACGAATATTTCATAACTTTAAAGACTAATTGTAAAAATTGTTCCCCATTTTGCGAGACTCACCAATTTTCAGGAGGAGCTTTGGCCCCCACACCACCGATTTACTGAGGTTGTTTACTGTACGTGATTAATAATGATGCGAGTTATAATTATAAATACAAGAGTTAATGCGAATCGTAATAGTAAATAAATTAATTAGGAATTGTAAACACACTGATTAATATGATAAGTTTCAAGTTGAATCTTGCGTCTTCCTGTTTGATATTATTTGGAAGTGTAAATTATATTAAGTTTAGCGACTTGTACGAAAATGCTTCACTATCTTTAAATAATTCTCTACTTTAGCCGTGCTGAGAACACACGAGTTTCTTACTAAATGTTTTCTTATCCTGTTTTCTGTCGTCGCATTAAATTGCAGCAGAAATTATCTACTGAAAAGCAGTAGACTTGCATCGGCTTTACCGATGCAAGTTTGATCTCGAATGCCGCGTAAGAAATGTGCAAGAAAAATACGTAAGAAATCGATGCTGAAATTCTTGAAAAATCACTAATTGCTGGGAGAAACTCAACCCCAAATATCAAATAGAATTTCTAAGCATTTCAAACTGCCCGTGAAATCTATTTCGAATATAGTCGCTTTTCGGATGAATATATTTATTTTATAATAAGAAATTCCTTCAGCATAACAAGACTGTCATGAGTGTCCTTGCCCAAGCGAACGATATAAACAAGAAGTGATCGATGAAGTTTTTAAAGTTCCTGCAAAAGTAAATACTCAAATCTTACATTCTATCTATCATATCAATCTTACATTCTATCATTCTATTTACGTACATTCTATTTGTACGTAACAGACTTTAATAACAACTAATTTAACTGCAATAGCATCATTATAGTGCCGTTATAATCATTTTTTTCCATTACCAGCGACAGACTTACGAATTATTATTGATGACGTCAGCAGGAACGTCTGTATTGCGCGTTCAATGAAATATTTTACACAATTGTGTATAATATTTGGTAAAATTATATCTAACCTATTAAAATATCACTTAACCATGAGATAAAACTCCTATGATACGCTAATACATCAACGTAACACAATGCAAATCTGTTGGAAAAAAGTGAAAAAGAAAAAAAACGCTGAAATGTTATATCTTGCCCGCCGTGGGAAGGCCGCGCAACCAACCGCGTCTCTGAGCGAAATACACTCAAAAAAATTGGTGAGTCACAGTGTCCAAATAGTGATACAATTTCTGCATGTAGCTCTGATACGCCATTTGCCGGTCAAACTGAGTTGGGATGTCCTTCATAAGCGCTGAAGGTGCATCGTTATTAAGACAAAGTCTCCCTCATTGCTCTGAGTGCTGACTGTCTCTGTACGGTTATCTTACACGATATCTTCGTAGGAATAGTATGAATATTGAACAAGTATAAATTTCAGTAGAAAAAAACACGATGGCCGGAAATATTTTTTATAATAAAAGACACGATCATCTCCATGAATGACGTGCAAAGCTTAGGTTTGAATATCCAACGTTTTACGTTATGCATTGCGTCTATTTTTTCCGAACTGAGAAAGCCTGATATATTCAGTAGTAATAAGAACTATAAAAACGTATAAATATTATAAATATAGAGAAATATGGATGTTGTATCACAAAAATTATAAAAAATCGAGTATTGATATTATCAACCATGGATATTACCGTCGAAGGATTCCCCAGCGACAAAACCCCCGTCATTTTTCTGGGTGTTTAAGTCGGACGGTAAGGCAGCCAAGGAGCGGCTTGATAGGAACACAGTTACCATTTAGATGAGTTCTTAACCTGAAGCTTTTAAGTTATTCGCTATTTTGCGCGAGTTGTTGCTGTTCTATCTTGCGGATATGGCGACCATTGGAAATTGAGCGTTCGCTCAAACATTGATACGTTCAGAAGGGTTTCCCTCAATTTCATATGTAAATGAAATTATTGTCGTTTGAAAATGAAATTATTTGAATTCATTTCAAATAATTCAATTATTTGAATTCTAATTTCATTTGAAAATGGAATTTTTTATTTTCATGTGAAAATGGAATTATTGTCATTATTTTAGCCATTATTATTAATGCAACGCGGTTTCTCCTCAACACTCAGAGAAATGAGTGAAACTAAGCCAAAATGCCACTGCAATTTTTGCCCCTGAGTGGGTCATCCTGACCATTTTGGCCCATCAAAGGGTTCGTATCCGTGCTAGCTACGCGCAAAAAGTGTCATTATTTGGACAACATAACCCAACAAATTTTTTTAAGTGGAACAACCAAAAAGTCACGCCTGTATTTCGTCTTGGTAGACAATTCTGGATAATGACGAGACTTTGTTATCATTTAAATTTCTTTGTAATTTATACAGTTATTTATTTAGTCAGTTAACGTTCCTCGTTTAACGTTTTCAACTCTAACACGCCAGTTGTAAATGGGTTAAGATTATTGTTAGTAAATAGCGTAGTTGGGGTTGAAGTGAAAGGCAATAAAGGCACTAGTAGGTTGAATAGTGAACGCTTTAGTTTCTATTCACAGTTTGTTAAACAAAGACGGGGCCAAACCTACACCTGCAAGGCGGATCGTTTGGAATACAGACACGAAATTGTGTCAATAAATCAATAAATGCTATCAAGAACGGACTGAGGTGGAAATGTGTATCATGTCGACTATCGTGTGGAAATTATAGTAAGTAATCTAAACTTTCGTTCCATGTATATAATCAAATTAACGCAGTTCAGTTAATTTTTTAAGTGAAATACGTATTTCTATCGTTAAAATTATTTATAATGATTTACACCCTTCACAAAAATTTATTTTGATACAAAATAATGTCACCCAAGTATCTAAAAACAGTTTAGCGATATATCTGCTTCAAAACAAACTTCAACATTGTTTACCGTATTCATTACGCAAATGATAATTACGATAGACAAACTGAATTAGGCCGAAAAAATCATAGTGGAACGGCTACTTTAACAATATTCTTGAATTTCAACTGTTTTTTAGCATCGTATGACAAAATAGAAAGAATCTCCTACGCATGTACTGCGTTTCATCTTCTCTACACTTGTATTTTCCATGCTTCATTTACTCATGTCATATCCTGCGACGAACAAATTTGTTGTTGGTTTCTCATTGTTCATTTGACTATTAGGAGGATGCTATGAATGATAGTAAAACAAACCTAGCTTATTTCTTACAGTAAAAGAAGCATCTTGATCAGAAGAGGAAGCAAGAGTCCTGCATTCAAGACGAACATCCTTACGCCAGCAGACGACGATTTCCCACTGAGCGAAGTGTATGTCAATATTCTTCGTCTGCCCAACGGGCTTTCAAGGTCAAAATGTAAATGTATGTTGCTGGTCCTGTATGTAAATGTGATCGATATTCATAGCAATTTTGGCATGCAATGAGAGTAAATGGTTTGGTTTTTGAGCAAAAGTTAGTTCAATAATGATGGTCAATAGGCAATAGCAATGAATAATTCCTCAATAATATAGCAATAATAATTCCAATTTGCATCATATCAGAATTAATTAAAATTTAACATTTATAGCCTGAAAACCAATCAATTTTGATCATGCGTTGAATATATAAAGAGAATGAGTTTAAAAAATGGATTGACTGTCACAAAATATCGTTCACATCCGTAAAGTTCGCCCAGCGAGCGAACGAGCGGCACTGACCGCAGACGAATCGTCGAGTCCGAGTGAGTAGAGGCAGTCAGTGGTGGCTTAGTCGTGGGAGGGGTAGGACGTGCGACGTTCTGTGGTTGAAATATTTTGTTTGCTTCCGAGGTTTAGTGCGACTCAAGATGACAGGAGATCAACAGCCAAACAACCATGAAGAAGAGGATGATTCTGGAAGTGACATGAACACGGCCTTTGGTCGTGGTCAACGTGGCAGAAAAGGAGCTTTGAAAAAGAAAAATGTGTTCATGATAAAAGATCACCCTTTTATTCCAAGATTCTTCAAGCAGCCGACGTTTTGTAGCCACTGCAAAGACTTCATTTGGTGAGTATCCTATGAGAACCGTCAAAATCCACGTTCATTTATAGCAGATAGATTATATAGAAGTACGTATAGGAATAAACTGTTCATGCATCATCGTGTTGCAATACCATCGCCCTGGCCTCTGTGACTGGCACGCCTTTTGTTTTTGTTCTTGCATGGTTGCTGCTAACCTAACTTTACCTGTCGTCACTTCTACCGTAATCTTATCCCGCATGTATCAATGACATGTTTATGATCTAATCTCTCTGTGCTATATTCATATTGCTAATAAAAATGCAACATTTTGTTCGCGACCGTTCCAGTTTCCATACTGCCAATGTAGCATTTACTCATGTTCGATTGCCTGCCTTTCCATTTGGTACTAAATATTGCAAGTGCTTATTCCTAATGCGGACGAACGTGAACATTTCAGCGGCATGACGACCCGTGGGAATCCCTCGCGATAATGTCTTCGGTAATTATCAGCGAGCTGCCGATAACAAATGTGATCCCCCGAAACTGTTGGGTTATAATCCACATGGTTATAACTGTGAAGATTGAACGTTAACCCAAGTCTACTATATACTATAAAGTCTACTCCTCTATACCCAAGTCTACTCCTCTATACCCGAGTCTACTCTATACCCGAGTCTACTCTATACCCAAGTCTACTACTCAGTCTACTCTATACCCAAGTCTACTACTCTATACCCAGTCTACTCCTCTATACCTCAAGTCTACTCCTCTATACCTCAAGTCTACTCCTCTATACCTCAAGTCTACTCTTCTATACCTCAAGTCTACTCCTCTATACCTCAAGCCTACTCTATACCAAGTCTGCTCATCTATACCCCACGTCTACTCCTCTATACCCAAGTCTACTCCTCTATACCCAAGTCTACTCCTCTATACCCAAGTCTACTCCTCTATACCCAAGTCTACTCCTCTATACCCAAGTCTACTCCATCGTCTATACCCAAGTCTACACCCTGTCTCTTATACACATCTAGATGTGTATAAGAGACAGCCCTCATTGCTCTGAGTGCTGACTGTCTCTGTACGGTTATCTTACACGATATCTTCGTAGGAATAGTATGAATATTGAACAAGTATAAATTTCAGTAGAAAAAAACACGATGGCCGGAAATATTTTTTATAATAAAAGACACGATCATCTCCATGAATGACGTGCAAAGCTTAGGTTTGAATATCCAACGTTTTACGTTATGCATTGCGTCTATTTTTTCCGAACTGAGAAAGCCTGATATATTCAGTAGTAATAAGAACTATAAAAACGTATAAATATTATAAATATAGAGAAATATGGATGTTGTATCACAAAAATTATAAAAAATCGAGTATTGATATTATCAACCATGGATATTACCGTCGAAGGATTCCCCAGCGACAAAACCCCCGTCATTTTTCTGGGTGTTTAAGTCGGACGGTAAGGCAGCCAAGGAGCGGCTTGATAGGAACACAGTTACCATTTAGATGAGTTCTTAACCTGAAGCTTTTAAGTTATTCGCTATTTTGCGCGAGTTGTTGCTGTTCTATCTTGCGGATATGGCGACCATTGGAAATTGAGCGTTCGCTCAAACATTGATACGTTCAGAAGGGTTTCCCTCAATTTCATATGTAAATGAAATTATTGTCGTTTGAAAATGAAATTATTTGAATTCATTTCAAATAATTCAATTATTTGAATTCTAATTTCATTTGAAAATGGAATTTTTTATTTTCATGTGAAAATGGAATTATTGTCATTATTTTAGCCATTATTATTAATGCAACGCGGTTTCTCCTCAACACTCAGAGAAATGAGTGAAACTAAGCCAAAATGCCACTGCAATTTTTGCCCCTGAGTGGGTCATCCTGACCATTTTGGCCCATCAAAGGGTTCGTATCCTGTCTCTTATACACATCTAGATGTGTATAAGAGACAGGTCTACACCTCTATACCTCAAGTCTACACCTCTATACCCACGTCTACTCCTCTATACCTCAAGTCTACACTTCTATACCCAAGTCTACTCCTCTATACCTCAAGCCTACACCTTTATACCCACGTCTACTCCTCTATACCTCAAGTCTACACTTCTATACCCAAGTCTACTCCTCTACACCTCAAGCCTACTCATCTATATCGAAGTCACACATAAGATCATACCATTTTTTTAAAGAACTAAAATTCCTTCACTGCAATTCAGGATATATGCGTCTGTACGTCTGGCACTGCACGCCATAAGCCCATTGTTATGACTGCTCTTCAGTATTGTGGCCGCACGGAAAGCTTGTCTCTTCACCGTCGGAATCAAAAGGCTGACACTGCAACTTTATTGTCAATGCGCAGCCTGCAAGTGTTCACTTCTGCAATGCTGGCTTTTAAATAAACTCGTCTGGATCAGCTTAGAATAGGTTTAATGTGTATGTAATGGCTTTACGTGTATATACGTGAATACTATAGCGCAAAAAAACTATGTATTTGTGCGCAGAGCTTCTGGTTAAAAGGTCAAGCAGTTCCTAGTTTTTAGTCTGTTTTCTTGTTTTTTTTTTTTTTTTTTGATTATTGCGGGACTCGTGCCATATAATGTACCAGGCCAGCATTGTACTGTATCTTCGTATTGCTTTGTAGTGTATTATTGTACTGCATTATACTGTACCAGTTCAGCATTATACTATATCGTAGTGTATTATTGTATTGCATTATACTGCACCAGTCCAGCATTGTACTGTATCATTGTACTCCATTATACTGCATTGTACTTATACATGATCTGATGCATGTTAACACACAACATGATTAATGCGCAGCATGACATGATGCATGTTAGCATGAGTAAGATGACTACAAGAAGAATCCGTAACACGAACCAGAATATCAATGCAGCGTTCACAACACAGAGAGCTCAGTGTATTGAGCCTGCTGCTCGTACTGTAACACTGTGCGCTGTAATATTGTGCTCTGTAACACTGTGCTCTGTAACACTGTGCGCTGTAATATTGTGCGCTGTAACACTGTGCGCTGTAACACTGTGCGCTGTAACACTGTGCGCTGTAACACTGTGCTGTGTCACTGTGCGCTGTAACATTATTCGCTGTAATATTATGGTCTGTCCATCGTCAGATGCAGTGTTGCACGTCGATCTGTCCATCGTCAGATGCAGTGTTGCACGTCGGTCTGTCCATCGTCAGATGCAGTGTTGCACGTCGGTCTGTCCATCGCCAGATGCAGTGTTGCACGTCGGTCTGTCCATCGTCAGGTGCAGTGTTGCACGTCGGTCTGTCCATCGTCAGATGCAGTGTTGCACGTCGGTCTGTCCATCGTCAGATGCAGTGTTGCACGTCGGTCTGTCCATCGCCAGATGCAGTGTTGCACGTCGGTCTGTCCATCG